TGTAATTTACCCTAATAATAATAGATGAGAGTATTGAGTAATCTTTTCTACATGGATTTAACTTTATCCTAGTGGATGATCTTTTGACACTTATTATCAGGTTTGAAAAAAAAATAGCTGATCCTTTTTTCCCATATGTAATGGGGTAAGGGAGAGGTATGATAGTAGGCTGGCCCCCAACGCCAGGTTGAGAGCAACTTCTATGGAGACCTCCAAATTATGAAATGCCCTCCGGGGGACTCGATCCCACGACCACAAGGTTAAGAACCTTGTGCTCTACCAACTGAGTTGGACGGACACCACAACTTTATTTGTTCAATATTCTCAACTAATCATGTAGTCGTTGAATTGGAAAGGAAGCGCATCAAAAACATTTGGACTTCATCGCTATTGTTAGGGTATTTAATAATAAGTTGTGCAGTTCGTGAATAGTTTAAACTCGATTCAATTAAAATTTGATTCGGATTGATATAATTCATATTCAACTCGAGACCTTAACGAGTTGAATCGAGTAAAATCTAACTCGATTCGATAAATTTGCGAGCAATTCGTTAATATTTTTTATATTTTTGTAGTTTAGTGATTGCAAGCAACAATGAATTGAGTAAAGAGATATTGATTTCTTTATTTTTAGGATTGACAATGTATTGTTGATTTTTTTAAAAAAATGCTTTTAATATATTGATTTGCTATATTTGTGGATTGTCACTTTAGAGCTTAGACTTTGAAATTGATTCATACACTCTTTTAATAATTTTTTTGTCAAATTTGTTAATTATGTTTATATTAAGCTCTATATATAATTAGTAGATTTTACCTATAGTTAAAAAATATGGTAAAAATTTTGGTGAGCTTAACAAGCAATGAGTCGAGTCGAGTCGAGCAACAAAACTTTTTAATAAGAATGAGTTGAGCACTGACCAACTCGAGATCGAATCGCTCGATAAGCAACCCTAACTATCATCTATATTTATGTTTTTTTAATAGTCTGAGTGATTATAATGTAATATTTGTTCAAAATCTTTCTTAACTATTGACGACACAAGATACAACTATTGAACTCATTACCTATAGAGAAAAACAACACTCCTTTTAATAACCAATGCCACTCGATGAGTTCATCCATATTATATTTTTAATTATTTAGTATGTTAATAAAAGTTATGTAATTATATTATTGATAATACAAAATCTTGATTTTTAAAAACCCTTTTATTACATATTTTATTTTAAACAAAATTGAAGTGCAAAGAGTATTTTCAGAATAGAATCAAATGTATTGTAGGAAGGCAACAACAGCTCAACTGGATCCATTCATCTAATCTAACCTTCTATGCTATTTTTAACATAATCTTTAGTATGTGAACCAACCTCCACTCCTCCAGGCTCAGATCATCTTGACAACAAATAAACATTGTCAGTAGACAATCTAATCTAAGCTAACCATCTGGTATAGTTACAAAGGTGAATAGAGGTAATGTTATCCCTGGAAATTTAAAATCATTATATATTTTAGATTTTTTTATGTATTTTCTATTAAAAATTTGTTTTTACCTCTAAATTTTTTTTAAATTTGTTCTCTCGTAAAATTTTAAAAATTTGTCCCCCTAACATAAAATCTTATGCCGGTCTCTACTAACCATAGCACATTATTACCACTATGGATAAAAAAGAATTAATAATACTAAATTTAACAGCAACAAAACTAAGGTCGTAAAATATATCTCAAAATTTGCTTAGCTGGAGTTAACTAACATTTTAAAAAAGGCAATTTTGCTCCGATGGAGTTTTGAAAATAAAGAATGGTTGAAATGGGAGAAAATTATTTCTTGAAATAGGATGAAAGCTACGATGAATGTCAGAAGACAGCTGGAGCACATGGCGTCTTCAAAATTTTCACCTTCAAACTTGAATCTACAACAGAGAGAGAGGTCGAGAAAGACTGCAGCAGTGGAGGAGGAGAGAGGGAGAAAAGAACAGCAGTGAAGGAGAAGAGAGAGAGAAGAAAGTGAGGCTAGTTATGGTGATTCGACCGGAGCTTAAAGACGTCATGTACTCTGGTTGTTTTCCTAAAAACGCAGCTCTTCCCAGCTTCTTTTGATGATACTGTTTGTCGACACAATTTTTTCGCCCGGGCAGGGAAAGACTGATACTAACTCCAGGGTTTTCTTTTTGAAAAGTGTTTCGAAATGTGAGGAGTCGCCACCAATCATTTAAGGTGCGATTGGGACACCATAAAAAATGGGTGATTTTAATAAAACATTTTATTTTTATCAAAATAATGAGCTTTAAGGTCTGCGAAAATCCAGAAATCGGGTTCGGGAGTCAGTTACGCATGGGGAAGGATTAGCACTCCCACAAGCGCCCAAAAATTGGTACTTAGTTGGTTACCTATATTTAAAATCGAAAATTTTGAGTTTGATCTTTATTTAATTTGAAAATCATTACGGATGCAAAGTTGAAAAGGGTATTCGTTTATCGAGACTGATAACATTCGCTCCCAAACGTAAATGCGAGAGATCAGCTATTGTGTCTAATAATCGAATATTCCCTCGTTTTAGAAAATCATGATGAAGTCTTTGAAAAGGATGTCGACCCATTTCGGGAATCACCAGTAGTCACCCCCTGAGCACACTTGTGGGAGATATACCATTAATTCCCTAATAAGTGAACATTGTCTTAGGTTTAAAAAACAATGCAATCAAACAAAATTTTCTTTAATCCTAATTAAGGTAAATTAAATTAAAGGCTTTTTCTAACTTAAGGTGTCAAATTGTGAAATTAAAGGAACCTAGAAGCTCAAACCTAAAAAATGTAGGCTCTAATATTAATCCTATTTGATTTTAATAAATTATTGAATCGAATAATCGAGATGGTTCCCCAGCATTTAGACGAGGGCCAACTCTTATTATTCCCTAAATTTAAAGGATAATTTGAAATCTAACCTAAAGTAGAGGCTCTATTTAACCTATTTAATTATGTAAATTTTAAAGTTCTAATCGAAGTTCAGGGACTAAAAAATCAATATCTAAAAATACCGATTTCTAAAAGATCTAAAAGCTTAGGACCTAAATTGATAATTTCTAAAGTTGAGGACTAATTTAAAACCTAATTTTTATCTAAATTATTAAACCTAAAGTTTTTTAGAAATATTAATTATTAATAGATTTTAAAAGTCGATCAATTGACTCGAGTAATCGGGCATCTATTGCGAAAACTCGACATGAATTGCTCCATAATTAAAACTAATGTGAAATCCTAATTTAAAACTAAATCTAAGAATTAAAGCTATGAAATATAACAATTAATAATAAACTTAATTAAAACAAATAAAAAAGTAAAAATATAGAATAAAAATTAAATGAACATAAAATAAGGACCTAATTGCATAAATGTGAAATTACTAAACTAAATGGGAACAAATTAAACATAAAATAGGACTAAATTAAAAAAATTAAATTCGAAGGCTAAATTGAAACAAATAAAATAAATGAATTAGGGATAAAAATAAAAAGCACGCTAGAAATTAAAGGGACCTAAAGAAAGTTATACCATTTATTTAAGCCTAAAAATCTATTAAAATAAAAAGGAAAAATTACAAAACCAGTCCACAAAAAACTAAAAAAATTAAAAATTCACTACACATGACTAAAGTGTAAAAACACGATAAAAGTGGGGGGACTAAACTTAAACTGTACCAAAAATTTCAAAGCACAAATAGAAAATTGAAAATTATAAAAACGGCCCCTTCTAGTGACCATTTTGTAAAAACACGAGAATTGTTGGGGTACCTAAAATACGATTTCCCCCGAAATTGTTTTATAAATACAAACTTTTTTTTCCTTTTTTAACATTTCATTTTTCAGTTTTTTTATTTTTTAGAGAGAGAGAGGGGCTCTCTCTAGAATTTCGACTGTTCTCTGGTCGGTGGGCCTTCGCTAGCCGTCATGCCACCTCCGTCTCTGGTGGCCGATGGCCACCAAATTTTACCGTGAGACTCTCCTGGAGGTGGTGGTTACGAATCCAAGCTCGGTTTGTGAAAAACACCGACAAGGCTTCAGCTGAACGGTAACACTTTTCCTCTTTTTTATTATTTTTTACGAAAAATAACTTTGGTTGTGGTTGTGATTTTTTCGAAAACTAAAAACTCTATTTTTATGATTAATGTTCATGGAAAAGAAAAATAAATAAATAAATAAATAAAGGTTTTCTTACTGAGATTAAAAAATACGAAAAAATGAATAAAAATGTTTGCAATCTTAAAAAGGGTAACCTTAAAAATCTTATTTATTGGCTTGATCAAATGATGAACCGAGAGAGATTTTACATTGCTTTCATTTGGGTTTTATACCGATGACAGTAGATATTATCCCTAAAAACAAATAATTAATCCTGACAATGCTTTGAATTTTGGTGCTGGTGGTTGTTGTATTGTAGGGGCATAGCATGGTGGATGGAAGCGCATGGTGATGAGAGCAGGGCATGGGCAGTAGTTGGGTTGGTGGTAGCAGGGTATTGTTGTAATGCATTTTTTGGGGGATAAAATTGGTGATTACAGCTGCCCCTCTTCACTCATTGTTGTGAAACAAAAATGGAGCGAATACATAAAGCACCAATTTTTTCCAATTGGGTCATCTGACATCGCTGAGCTCCAAGTTCTTCTCATTATGAACTTTTCACTTTTATATTCGGACAAGTTCTTCTCATTATGACCCTTCCATTGGAATGTTGATCCACCTCCTTCTGCGATGATTGAGCTAAGGTTAAACAAGTTCTTTTCATTATGAACTTCTTCTCTCTCATCGGATGAGTTCTTCTCATTATGAACTCTCCATCAGAAAAGTTTAATCCCTCAAGCGAGTTATTGTTGATTCGAAGTGTTATGAATCGAGCAATAGGTTGAACAAGCTCTTCTCATTATGAACTTTTTCTCCCTATGTCGGATGAGTTCTTCTATTATGAACCGTCCATAGAAAATTTCAATCTCTCAAGTGAGGTGTCACTGATTCAAAATGTCATGAATTGAGTGATAGGTCGAACAAGCTCTTCTCATTATGAACTTTTTCTCCCTCATCGGATGAGTTCTTCTCATTATGAACTCTCCATTGGAAACGTCAATCCCTCAAGCGAGGTGTTGCTGATTCAAAGTGTTGTGAATCGAGCAATAGGTCGAACAAGCTCTTCTCATTATGAACTTCTTCTTCCTCTGTCAGATGAGTTCTTCTCATTATGAACTCTCCATCAGAAATATCAATCCCTCAAGCGAGGTGTCACTGATTCGAAATGTCGTGAATCGAGCGATAGGTCGAACAAGCTCTTATCATTATGAACTCCCTCTCCCTCTGTCAATGAGTTCTTTTCATTATGAACTCTCCATTTGAAATGTCAATCCCTCAAGCAAGGCATCGCTGATTCGAAATATCGTGAATCGGGCGATAGGTCGAACAAGCTCTTCTCATTATGAACTCTCTCTCCCTCTATCAGATGAGTTCTTCTCATTATGAACTCTCCATTTGAAATTTCAATCCCTCAAGTAAGGCGTCGCTGATTCGAAATGTCGTGAATCGAGTGATAGGTCGAACAAGCTCTTCTTATTATGAACTCACTCTCCCCCTTTCAGATGAGTTCTTCTCATTATGAACTCTCCATTGGAAATGATGATCGATTTATCTTCTCTTTGAAGATTTTTAAACCTGCAAAAGATTATCATATGTCATTAATAATTGTGTTGGAAGTACCCGAAGGTATTGACCCAAAGGTCCTTGAATTTTCTGAGATCCATTTCTTTCATGATGAAAAATATGTACAAATTCTTTGTTGAAATCTTCTTCTTCTTAATGCAATCGTGAAATAAAATCTTTGTTGACTCTTTGAATTCATTAATGTTACAAATTATATTGTCTAGTGATCTTTTGCTCCTTTATTTGTGCTGAGTTTTTTGTCTTTGTTGGGTCTATCCCAGGAACGACACTGCTCACTCGCATTGAAGCAATCTGAAAAAGTCAAGTTAAAGGAGGGCATTTTTGGAAAGGCTTCTAGGAAACCTTTCAAATGAATCCATTGAAATCCCAGAAAAACGGTCTAAAAATGAATCAAACAATTTTCTAAAAAATGACAAAATAGCTTTTTTTCTTTTCAAAATGGACTTTACATGCATCCTCATGAGAGGGAAATTAAAATTTATCATGTGTATGAAATGATGAAATGTATGATGCAAATATGCAAATTCATGGAATATGTATGAATGCATGTTTTCTTGATTTGTTGAGAATGGTTACAAGAGCAGTCTTCATTGCTAAAGCAGTTTTCACTCTCTTCCTGGTTCGACCGTCTTCCTTGTTTGTCACACCTGAGTGCATTCTTGTGAATCTTGACTTTTGAACGGGCGCATCTTGCCCCAGTAAATTTTGGCATTTGATAAATTTGGATTCTTCTGCCTTAACTTGTGTAGAAATCCAATAGAGCTCTCATCTTTCCCAGAAAGTTTTGAAAAGAGAGTCTATCATTTCAAGCTCTGGAGACCGTGTACTTGCTACTACATTTTTATGGAAAATCAACAACCACTGCCTAGAACTAATCCTTAGGGACAACTGGAATTGAAGGTGTTTGCTCAATTACTAACATCGAATTCAGCCCTCCCAGCTTTGCATTGATTTTTCAAGGTTCTATCGTCCATTTGGCGGAAAACTAACTTCCCGGTTATTAACTTTTAGTCCTAGTGTAAATAGAACACAACCTTCAAATTGGGCGAGTTTAGGATTTATAGAAACCCTTTATGAACTCAATATTGACTCAACATCATAACTACTAGTATGGGAAGCATTCATTATTTCCTGTGGCGTTGACATTTATGCACGTCAAATCACCATAATAATGCAATTGTATGTTACGAGGCTCGAAGGACTTATCATCGAGAAACATTTGAAAATCAAACTTGGCTTCTTCAAAAATTTATTCATGTTTATTATCAAGAAACTCCTAAAAATTAGGCTTAGCTTCTTTAAAAATTCATCTGAAAACATCATATTGTTTGGGTAACATGCCCCCACATCAAAGCAATGATTCTTCTTTATTAGACTCCTCGATCCTTGAGGCTTAGCCATTTTGAACAAAAATCCCTTCATTTGAGGCTTGAATTATGCTCTTTCTTCGTTCTCTTCTTTTCTTTGAACAATCTGTAAAACTGCCTTGATGCATGAAATGTGAATGCAATATATATGTATGTAATTCATGAAGTTCATGAATACAGAACTGTTGATCATCAATTCTTCTTCTGGATCAAAGTGTAGACCTTAGTCTTCCTTCACTTGATTATCTTCGCATGGAACCTGCCTCAATATCATTGTAGCAACTTGCCAGCTCAGCTTTGTAATCTTCTGAGGATCAGCATGATCATCCTATGGTCTTTGTTTTCTGTCTTCATTTTAGAGGAAATGTTTTCTCTCTCGAATTCTTGTTATGACCAGGTATATGGCCTTGACTCTATTTCTATCCTTGACTTGATCGTTCAATCAAATTTGTTTCTCCGGACAGGTCTTCCAATTGAAGCATGAATGGTTTGTTTCTCAAGGTGAGATCATTTCATTTTCATTTTCTGCCCTAGGCACTCCAAACAGTGAGGCTCATCCACCACATCTGCTTGATTTAAATCTTGTGATTTTAATGACATCTGGTTTTGGCAATGCCCCAATGTGGGTACTCATGGCTCTCTTCGAGCCAAACTCTTAATCTCAAATGGTCTCACTCTTGTATCGATAATCAGCAATGTTATCAAATATCTTGAGGGCTTCTCTTCATGATGCCACAATTAGATGGACATTTAAGGAGTGATCAATTCTTCTAACATAATTGTCTTTCATTTTTTCTATAAGTTGGGATATGTTCCATCTTCAACTAAGGCGATTATCTGCTTCTGACAACGTCACAAGAAAGTGTTAGAAGTTATTTCCTCCAGTCCTTTTGATCTCTCGGACTATTTTCTTTTATGAAATACTTTATTATTCTGGCATCGTTTGTTCTTCTCTAACTAAGGCAGAATGAGTCTCACCAGCTTCCAGGACCTTTTCCACTTGAGATTGTCTTGTTTGAAAATATTTCTCTTCTTTCTTTTATTTTACAAATGTGAAAAATTTTGTTGAATAAATTTCAAAAGTGTTGTCATTTACTTCCGGCTCACAATCAAAACAAATTGTAAAACAAGAGTTCACTGAATATCAAATAAGTCAAATTTTCTTTTAATCATTCAAAAAATTATACATTTGAAAAATGTAAAGATTAATGTTGATATAAAGCTTAGGCTGACTTGGGAAGGTAATGTGTTTCAGGTTAATTTGGGAAGGTAATGTGTTTTAGGTTGGCTTCTTGCGTCCTTGATTCTAGTGTTCATTGATTTGATGAAGCAGCTGTCATACTTGTCTTCTGGAAATGTTCACTGGTTCTCAGCCCTCGTGAGCGCCTTTGGACTGTGCAATGTTTTATCAAGAGATGTATAAGATCATCCTTTTATGCAGTGGTTGACAATCTTCGTATTCGAGCTGCCTTTTCAGGTTTCAACTCAAAATCTCCTTTGGCTTCAAGACGTCATAAAAAATTTTACGTCTTGTACCCTTATTTTATTATTTTTCCTTATTATGAATTAAAGATTTAGAAAACTAATTTTTGCAAATAAAAATAACTCTTGAGAGGCGAAATGAAATCTGAAGATAGTCTCTCCACTTAGAAATCCATGTATGATTAGAAGGGACTTTTCAGGCGTGTAATGTAGACTGGGGCTCATGGTTATGAAAGAAAGGGATAAATAGGCCCAAACAAGTGTTTAAGGGTTATTAAACCCATGATTGATTCATTCTATTGTATTCAATCTTGTCTTGCTTGAATTGAATCTACTCGTGTGTCTTTTATTCTCTTTTTATTTTTCTTTGGTGTTTCATGATCTTCGGGTGAATTGATTGAGTCATTCGTCTTGAAGTGTTTAATTTGTTTTATTTCTTCTTCTTTTTCTTTCTTTCTTTCTTTTCTTTTCTTTTTCTTTCTCTTTTTCCTCTTCTTTCTTTTTTCTCTATCTTTTGCTTTCTTTTTTTCTCTTTTCTCCCTTTTTTTCTCTTTCTCTTTTTTTGTTTCTTTTATGTGTTGTCAACTTGATTTGATCTTTGAACGCTTCATATTTGGTCTACCTCACGGTATCTTGTTATTTCTCACCTTATTTTATCATGACTTGCTTCTATAGCGAAATTTTGATTGATGATCTTCACTCATGCGAACAGATGTCATTCACCTTTTCCACCCAATGTGGAGGGTGATCCTTGGTTAGGGTTGAATCAAAGAAAAAATACTATATGCTCAAAATGGGACAACAAGGAATATATATATATATATATATATATATATATATATGAAATGATAAATGAAACAAAGTCGTTCATCATCTCATACATGGAAGTCTTTGTAAAACAGGTATCCTAAGGGACGAGTATTCAAGATTAATCTTATTTACATGAAAACAATGTAATTAATTCATGATAGAATTATTTTAATGATTTTCTTTATTTCTTCTTCTTTCATTCGCTCTTAGTATGCCCCAATTATTCGAATTCTCTTGTAAAAACTTTATCCGCAACACTCCATCTTGTCTTTCTTGTAGGAAAGGTCCTCGTTATGCCCCCATGATTTATTGAGGTTGAGAAATTAATGATGGTTTTGTGTCTAGGAAGGTAAATGTGTGACTTTAAAGTCATAATTCTGGAAAAGGTAATGTCATGGAAATGTTATATCTCTCTGGAAAGGTAAAAGTACAGGTTTTGGTGCCTCGGGGGATAAGGGCATGACTTTATTGTTTCAAAGAGAGGTGATGTCAAAGTTCGGTCTTTTGGTAATTAGCACAAGCCGTGTAAGGAAACGAGTAAGGGTGTTTGGCTTTGGAGGGAACACGAAAGGTTTAATCTTGTCCTTTGTTAGCGGTCTATAATTAGTGAAGTAGTAAAAGAACCTTTAATTCATATGATATTCAAAGAATTACAAGATTAAAACTTGATTTATTGCTCATAACCTAAAAATGGCATAAGTTCAATTAACAAAATATCTATTGAGGGAAGAACAAAAACACGTTCAAACAGGACAAGGCCAGTGCAACGGCTAGTGCAACAAGGTTTCACGATGGGTGGAAGAACTTATTTTTAATTGGCCCCAAAATGTCTCATTACGAGTTAAAGGTCAATACCCTAGGTCAAACAAAATATCGGCCTTGCTTCTCAGTGCCCCACGGATCTCGATGATGTGCCTCGAACTTCATACGATGCTAACATCATGTCCATAGCTCTCAATTATTTCTAGGAACGAATAGGGTGACTTCTTCCTACCTTAAAACTTTTATTACGAGATTCTCGCAAGTTAGCCCCAGGATCCATGATTAATGCATGTCGAGATGCAATGTATACCTTGAACAATTCTTGAAAAACAAACAATGTCTCGATACACTAGGGAAGTGAAAATCTGGTTCATCTGTCCAGCTCCTGCGAGCATATGGGTACTGCATCGTCTTTAAAGCATTACTTTATCTCCTGCTTTCAGAAATATTTTGAGCTGGTTCGTGATCTTCAACTGTTGGCTTCTCTTCTCGAGTCCAACTTGTTACCTCAGCAGGTATAAGTTCGGCTTCTCAGTAGGTAGACTCTCTCTTGACTCTACTCGATCTACGTAGAGTATCTTCAAAATTTTCCGATCCCAGTGAAAGGCATTGATGTGACATTATTTTTAAAAAAACCTTCTAAAAAACCATTTATTTAATGTATCAATACCTTTGAATGATATGTCATGATTATGCAAAAATGTAACAAGACCAGACAAAAGGAAATTAATGTTAGTAAAAACAAGACAAAAAGAATCAAGTTATTGAAATGATTAGTCAAAAAAATGTAATCTTAGCAAAAATAGTTAAATATGACTCAAAGTTAAGACTGAAAAATAAAGAATACAAAAGAAATTAATAGCCCTAACCGCATGCGTTCTAGTTCTCTTAGGCTATCCACATGGCTCTAGCGGGGTAGGCTTATTAAATTCTCTATATGAGGTTAGGTTCTAGCAAATGTTCTCGAGCCATCTTTACAACCTGCTAAGGTTAACCATAATTTTGGCCCATTACAGACTTGCGAATCGGGTTCAGTTCAGGGGATCTCACCACTAAAAGCGTATCGCAGATCTGATATCCGGATAGACAACTTAGGATGCTTTCCAGAGATACTTTGTCAGACCCACACAAGGAAGCCCAATGCTCCTCG